ACACACACACACACACACACACACACACACACACACACAGAAGACTATAGGGATCCCTGGAACCAAGCATTTTGCAACTTGTATGTTAGAACATCTAAAACTACTTAATAATGGGAGTAAGATTTCCTTTTCTTGATTGACTTTTTCATTTTTTAATTTTAGACAGTGATTCTGCTCCTTCAGACCCCGACACTGAACTCACTGCCAGGACCAATGGGAAAAGGAGCCCGGGTGAGCAGTCTCCCAGCCCTGTCCAGTTCATCAACAGTGCGGGAGCAGGGGACTCCAGCCGCTCCACCCTGCAGAGGTACCATCATCTGATTCAGACTGTCACTGTGTTTTACCTTCAAATTAATTGAGAGGCCAATTTCAGTGATTTAATTACCTTAACAACAGAACTGGCAATAGTGACATCCCACATTTTAATCCCAGCCTTTTTCTTTAAATAAGTTCACCTCCTGAATTATTTTCTCAGCATTCTTAGTAAATTAACATAAGAATATTTTAAGCTAGGTGTGGTGATGCACATCTGTAATCCCAGCTCATGGGAGGCTGATTCAAGGGATCCCAGTGAGCTCAAGGCCAGCCTGGGCTACGTAGTGAGATACTATCCAAAAAAAAAAAAAAGTTTTTTTTCACTCTTCAGTTCCTCTTCTCTATGTGTAAATTTATTAGGACTCAGCTTAATAAACTTATAAGCACTTAGCTTTTTTTTTCTTTTTTGGCGGAACCAGGGATTGAACTCAGACCCTTGTGCTTGCCAGGGAAGCACTTATTCTACTGAGCCATCCCCTTGGCCCCTAGCACTCAGCTTTATAAGTGTTCCTTTTAAGTTCAGGGAATGATCCCCATACACACACTTTTTTTTTTCCTCTTAGAGCTCATAATTACCCTTTCCAGAATCAAAAACTTAAGTTATGGGTGCCACAAAGAGTGCTGTGACACAGAATAAGGGTAGAAGTGAGTAAATACTGTATTGTCATCTCACTACTAGTGCTGATTCTCAGCATCCATTCACATTCACCCCTTTGACTTATAAAACAGTTCTACCAGAGAAACTTGGTTCTGCTAGAGAAAGAATGGCCTTTGTCAGAACCACTGTATTATTATTTTTATAGCTACTTTTCTTAAAGGACTCTAAAAATGCATTCAAGAACAGATAGGTAGGGGCTGGAGAGATGGCTCAGTGGTCTAAAGTGCCTACTTAGAACAAGCTTGGCAAAGCTCAGGGACTGCGGTTCAATCCCCCAGCACCACATGCCAGCCAGCCCCGCCCCCTGGTGGGCTGAGCTGGCCACACACACACACACACGCAATAAATAAAATGTAAAAAAAAAAGAAGAAGAAGAAGAGATAGGTAATAGGACTTCCACTGAGGATGCAGTTTCTTTTTTCTTTTTTTTTTTTTTTTTTTTTTGGCGGAACCAGGGATTGAACTCAGGCCCTTGTGCTCACCAGAGAAGCATTTATTCCACTGAGCTATTTCCCCAGCCCCTCAATTTCATATTAAATAGATTTTTGGTTCATCAAAATATTCACTCTGAAAAAAAAAATTCACTCTATAGCATGGAGTTATAGTGTTCATTGGATTTTGATGCAGAATTTGATGTGCTGTGATGGGAGATGAGCTATGGTACATGTTACTCTATGGTTTAGCATATACCTTCGTATTTTCTAGGAAAGTAATCATCTTACTCTATTTCATATACTTTACTGCCTGCTATTTTGTTCATAACATCTAGTATTCTCAGTCCTCTGATTCATGTGTTCACCACATTTTCTCAATAATGCTAAGATGGCAACTAATGTTAATAGTTTAAAGTCTGTAGGAACAGCACTGTTAGTGGTGAACTCCCTCATTTTAATCCCAGCTCTTCCTCTGTCTCATTATGTGAGTGCCATTAAATATAAAAGCCTCTTCAGCCTCAACATTAGAATATGTAAAATGGAAGTAAGTGCAGATAACTATCAAAAGTATTAAGGTTCAGTATCCATGTTGAATAGGTCACTGTAAGTACAGTCACACATCACTTAATGATGGGACATTCTGTAAAATGTGTGTCATTAAGTGACTTGGTTGTGATAGGAACATCATAGAGTGCACTTACACAAACTAAGATGGCTACAGTATTACCAGGCAGTATAATCATGTGGAACCATCGTCCCATATGCTGCCCTTTTTGGCTAGAATGTCATTAGGCAGTACATGACTGTTTAGAAATTAATATAAAGTATTATCATTGCTTCATATTGCATATAGTATATATAGAAAAGCACTTTTAATTTTTCTTCTCTATCAACCTTATTCTTTTGCCCTTTGTCTTATTCTCCTCAAAATCCTATTGAATCAGTACTTCCCCTTTTTTCCTGTCTCCTTGTCTCAATGCTGGCCTTGCTGTCAGAGCCAATGAGTCTTTCCACCCCTGAGCCCTATAATGATCTGCATTACCTGACATGCATTGCATGAAGGTAAGTCTGAATGTAAGGGTCCCTTTTTGGGTGATGGAATAGGAACCCATAAGAGGCAGAGGCAGGACTTAAGACACTGTACCCATTTAGCTTTCCTTTTGAAGTACCTTTTCTGGAGAACCACATCTGACCTTTAAACCACCAACCCCTGTGTGCTTTCTGCTGACCTACTTTTTCACTTCTAGCGTCATCAGTGGTGTTGGGGAACTGGATCTAGACAAAGGGCTTGTGAAGAAAGTAGAGCCCAACACCAAAGACAAACCTTATCCTGACTGCCCCTTCCTGTTGCTAGATGTGCGTGATAAAGACTCTTACCAGCAGGGCCACATTGTTGGAGGTAAGAGAGAAAAAGCTTTATAGTGCTTCACTCTAGGAAAAGAGCCTGCGTATGGGGCCAGGCATGCTGATCCCTAGCCCAAGCTCAACTGTGTGTGCTGGATCCTTATGGAAATCTCTCAAGGGGTCTCTACCGTAAGTGCTGAGAGAGTCTTCCATGAGCAATGAAATGAAGCTTCAGGGGCCAGGGACATAGCTCAGTGGAATTAAATGCTTACTTGGCAAGCTCAAGGTCCTGAGTTTGATCCCTGGTACCACCAAAAAATAAATAAATAAAATGAAGCTTCATTCTTTTTTTTTAATCTTTTTTTTTCTTTAAGACAGTATTTTTTATTTTTTTATTTTTTAAATTTTATTTATTTATGTGTGTGTGTGTGTGTGTGTGTGTGTGTGGCAAGCTCAGCCCACCAGGGGGCGGGGCTGGCTGGCATGTGGTGCTGGGGGATTGAACCATGGTCCCTGTGCTTTGCCAAGCTTGTTCCAAGTAGGTGCTTTAGACCACTGAGCCATCTCTCCAGCCCCTTCATTCTTTTTTTTTTTTTAATTTTTTTTTAATATTTATTTATTTATTTTGTGTATGGCCAGCTCAGCCCACCAGGGGGTGGGCTGGTTGGCATGTGGTGCTGGGGGATTGAACCGCGGTCCCTGTGCTTTGCTTGGCTTAGCTTGTTCTAAGTAGGTGCTTTAGACCACTGAGCCATCTCTCCAGCCCCTTCATTCTTTTTTTTTTTATATTTTTTTTAATATTTATTTATTTATTTTGTGTATGGCCAGCTCAGCCCACCAGGGGGTGGGCGGGCTGGCATGTGGTGCTGGGGGATTGAACCGAGGTCCCTGTGCTTTGCTTGGCTTAGCTTGTTCTAAGTAGGTGCTTTAGACCACTGAGCCATCTCACCAGCCCTCATTCTTTTTTTGGTAGTGTCCTGTTTCTTTTTACTCAGCAAAGTAGTTAAGTGTTTTTGGTTTTTTTGTTTTGTTTTGTGGAACCGGGCATTGAACTCAGGCCCCTGAACTTGCCAGGCAAGCGCTTATTCTACTGAGCTATTTCCCTGGCCCCCGTAGTTAGGTTTTTATATGGCTCGCTGATTTTGAAACTATATTTGCATCATAGATTTTAAACCAGGTAAGAATTAGGACTACAAAAGCCACAGATTTCTAAATTTTTTCTTCTCTTTGCAGCTTACAGTTACCCAATTGCAACTCTATCTAGAACAATGAACCCCTATTCCAATGATATTCTTGAGTATGTATCCTTTATTATTTGTTAAGGAAATTGGATGGTATAAGGATTGCAAACTCAGACTTTTCATCAATCATGCTCCTGGTAGAAAACTGTGAAAGACATTGATACTACTTGGGTTAGCATACTTCAGACTTTGTTGCTAAAAATTCTGACCTTAAAGCAAATGCTTCCAAGCCATATGGCAGTGGCACACACACACACAAATAAAATTAGGTTAAGTATTATGATCTGTTGAAACATCAGCCCTTCTGAAAGCTTACCCAAGTTTAACTTAAGCAAATTATTTCTTATTTTTCTTCTTTTAAATCTTTAATGTTTCTATTCATAAACTCCTACACATAGAAAATAATGTAAATCCTGGAAAAATATGAAAGAAAATAGAAATCTCCTATAATCACATAATTGAGTACAAACTCCTATCATGTTATTGATATATTTTATTCCACACTATTGTGTATGTGTGTATGTGTGTGTGTGTGTTTTATAAGAAAGTTGAAGTCATACTATTTATGTAATTTAGTATCTTTTCTCCACTTGATATTACAGTACATTTGCCCAAGTTAATACAAGCTCTTTGTGAACTCTATTTTTTATATATGTAATAATATATTAATCTTTAGAGTCACTGTATTTTATTACTTCATTCCTTTATTTTAGACTTTTAGGTGGTTCTATCTTTTTGCTATTAGAATCCACTTCCATGCATTGGACATGGAAGTTAGAATCTTTAGTCTTTTGTAAAGTGGAGATTGCAATATTTATCTTCCAGGATTGAATGAATGAAAGACCTAAAGGGCATAAAGTGTCTAACTAGTGCTGCCCTGGACTAGGGTGATACTAGCTCACAAATGGCAAGAACACCAGCTCGTGTGGCTTCGTTATAGGAAAAGTCCAATACCTGCTGGTGTATCCGGGAAGAATGGACTCTTGAGCTCCTCCTAAATTTGCAGAGATGAACCGTGACAGCTCTTTGTTCCTTAGGGGGCTCTTGTAGTCCAGGAGGATTAGTGTAGCACCTAGAACCTTAACTCATCTCTTAGAAAAACGCCCACGGCAAGATCATCATTGTGTATGACGAGGACGAGAGACAGGCCAGCCAGGCAGCCACCACCATGTGCGAGCGGGGCTTTGAGAACCTCTTCATGCTTTCCGGGGGTGAGTGCAGTTGCTTTCTGCATGGGACCTAAAAGATAGCTCTTTGGACACATAGGCCTTCTACCCACCCCATCACCTTTTCTTCTCAGTGCTTAGAATTTAGTGCTCTGAAAAGAGAAAGCCATGCTGGCTGAAGAGAACCAGGTATGGGAAATGTCCATTAGTTCTCTCAGTACATGTTCTTAATTCCTAAAGTAAGTGTTGCTGCAAATCTGTACAAGAAAGCTGAGATTGGACTTGAGCAAAGGCTTTCTGTAGCACTCCTGGACTCCCGTGTAACAACTCACTTTCTTTGGTGTGATTTTCTTAATGGTGAAACAGGAAAGATTTCATATCCTTGTGTTGGCCTCAGCTGGGTGGCCAAAGATTAGAGGACACGGGGCTGGGGAGATGGCTCAGTGGAATAAGTGCTTCCCTGGCAAGCGCAAGGGCCTGAGTTCAATCCCCAGTTCCGCAAAAAAAAAAAAAAAAAGATTAGGTTTTGGTGTGACCCTCACTATGCTAATCCTGCTTTTTATGATGATCTTCTCTATCTAGGTCTAAAAGTCTTAGCTCAGAAATTCCCAGAAGGACTGATTACTGGTTCCCTGCCAGCATCTTGCCAGCAGGCCCTTCCTCCTGGTTCTGCCCGGAAACGATCCAGTCCCAAACTGCCACCCACACTAGCTGAGAACAAATGGAGATTTACCCCAGAAGACTTAAAAAAGATAGAATATTACCTGGAAGAAGACCAGGGCCCTGCAGACAATCCTAGTAAGATATTTTGACCTTTGTTTTCTGTGGAGCTTGAGATTTGCAACTTTGCACATCACCTTCTCATAAAAAAAAGCTTCATTCATTATATTCATAGTCTTAAAATCTCCGAGGCTATATAAGTGACACTTTGGAGTGGGAGACTGATACTTGGTAGTGGCAGAAATGAGGCATTGAGCCCAGAGGTAGAGAAGAGAATGTCAGTCAAAGTAGGTCTCAGGAGTTTAGGAGCAAAGTATGGGACATTCAGATACCTTCTTACAAAGTTTCCTTTTCCTTCTACTGCTTTGCTACTTATAAGCCACTTCTAAGCATTCCTGATTCACTTTGTACCTTACCTTTGGGCCCCTGCTTTCTCCTCTCTTAGAATTGCCGTTCACCCTGTACCTTTCTCTTCCGAGGAAAGAATGAAGACAGACTAGATTTGTTGGGGGTCATGGAGAGAAAGAAGGAAAGTGATCTGGACTTCTCTCTGTCTCTACTTCCTTACCTGATTTCAAGTTGGTCTCCAGGATGAGGACAGATTATCATTCGTCCAAAGTAGATGCTGCACAGGGCTTCATTAGCTTAAAAATAGTTGTGGACTAGGACTTTTTTAATTTAAAACTTTACTTGGCCAATTGTCTCTGAAATCATTTGTGTGCCTCTGCTCCTCTTTCCTGCTCCCTTCAGGCCGGCTGAACCAAACTAACTCTTCGGGAAGAGACTCCAAGGGACCTGGTGCCCGAAGCAGTCCGCACCTGCCTACTGGGGGCCCTGGCAGCCACTCCAACCCTCGCTCCCAGGGCAGTGGTCACCTACAAGGCAAACCATGGAAGTAAAGACTTTTAGTCAAATAAATGTTTCCCCTCTTTTTGAAACCCCTGAGCAGTCCCCAGGTTGGTCATTTTTGCACGTTGCTTTAGAGGAAAGACCACAGCTGTGGGATAGGCCATCTGCTTTCTCCATGTTCAGCTCTTCTCCCTTTTGCCAGCCCATCAAGGATTTTGACAGATGACCACAAAATCCAGAGGCGTGACCAGCTCTAGTGTCCTTCTTATTGTTTACAGAATATTTTAAGTCTTTTGAAACTGAATAGGCAAAAAAAGATACACCACCCACTTCAAATGCAGCTGTTTACTCTCTATCCAGTACTGATTTGTAAGTTTTTCAGTCACATCTGGGGGCATATTCTTCCCAAGCAGTTTTTTCATTCACTATGGATTTCCTGAGAAATTGTGCAGGTGGGCTTGGTGTGGGCCACTGTCTGCAGGGACATAGATGCATCTTGGTCCCAGCCGCCATACACCAGGCAGAACAGCTGCTGAGGCACCCTTTGCCTAACACGCTGCAGGCTCTGCATGGAGATTGGAAACAGTACCTGTGAGCAGGGCTCAGTCTTACAATTGAGTAAAAAAGCTCTACAGCTCCTGAACATGCCCCTTCATTAAATAGTTTTCTGGGGCCAGAAAGGTGTGTACTCAGCTGTCTTCATCATCATCACAGGGAGGAGGGCCTCACACAGGGGCACCCTGGCCTGTGTTGAGAGCCCCTGCCGGTCTCCACAGCTGTCCCTCACTTGTGGCCAGTATAGCAGTTGTAAATTTCCATTGCCTGCATCAGGTCCATCTGCATTAAGTGGGTAGAAATCGTGGCCACTTGAAAACATTAGCTTCACTCAAGCAACTAGAAACACACAAGGTGAGGACTCAAGAGTCCTCTGTCAGGGCTGACAGCCCCTTAAGCCCTTGCTTAAAAATACAGTATTAGTCTAATTGAGTAATTAGTGCAATTTCCTGCTTACTTTTCATTCTCATGACTGAGCTGTGATTAGGAGGTTGTGATTATAGATTCTGGTTTTGGCCGGGATTTTGAATCAGCATTAATTGAATTGCTAGATGACTGACATTCTATTTAATTGGAGGAACAAAAGGCCTCAGGTAAGGATGAGGAACTCTGAAATCATGCGAAAAGGAAAAGAGCCTTGTTAATTTTTATGGTCTGTGATTGTGGCTGTGATAAGGGACTAAGGAATAAATTGTGCTCTTTGTCATGGCAACCAGCTTCTGAAAAGCCAACTGAAAATTGCCTGTCCTTAGGTGGTTACTGCTGCTGGGTAAGATTCACCTTAACAGTACTATTTCTCACCACCAAAAGAAAAAAGAAAGGCACCACAGTATTTCTAGTATGGGGGCTATGTTTGTACAAGAAATAAACATAATAAATGTCTCATAGAAACATATGGAAAAATAACTGAGATTCAGCCCAGTTCTGCTTTAGAGTGTGTTTATCCGTCTTTACTTGATTGCCAAAGTGCAACATTTTCCGATGCTTTAGAATCAAATTAACCAGGGACATTGTTCAGATGTCAAGCCATGCCCAGTTTTCCACAAGATTCAAGAATCTTGTATAAAATTCAGCCAACATACACATAGCTTTAATAAAGAACCTTTCATGTCCCATAAATTTATTGCCTGAGAACTTAGTTCAGCCTTTTGCTACAGCCAGAATGCGCTGGCTTTTATTTTCTTTACACCATAGGTTTAAAAAATGCAGAAATTTCCACACTTCTCTAGTGTGGACAATGTTTAGCCATCGTTGATGTACATACATCTTTAAGACAGAATGTTTCTCTCTGTAACAATGTTCTGGTTATGCCATTTTAAAGTTGACTTGTCAGATTAGATTTCCCTGCCAGCTTCTGTTTTGAAAGTAGAGCCCCCTTTGTTCCTATTCTGCATTCCCATCATTACAGATTAGTGTTCAAACTCCAGTCTGTATGTGGAAAGTCAGTTCAGCCAAACCTACAAGAATTGCTATGTATTTACTGGCGAGATCTAGCAGGTTGAATGTATTTATGTATGTTCCCCCATAGTGCTTTGCCCAGGCGGTAAGGATTTTACAATTCCAGAAGACCTGTTCTAATTCCACATTTTGTGTTAAATGTCACTTTTCATGCTCGAGGTATTTCTTTCTTCTACTTTACTGGTTTCTTCATTAGATTATTTGACATGTGTTATTTAAATGATTACTGATACTTTGTGCAATTATGAATGTTGAAGATTAAAGAACATAGTTCCTAATTTGTCGTTTGCTATTAATGTACTGAAACCTGCCAACTTCTGTCTTCCTCTTTGTCAGTTGATCTGGTAGAGCCCCAGGAGACTGGATGATAGGAAAGAGTACCTCTTTTTGCTGCTTCTCCCAGAAAGGCACATATTCTTTGTGTAAATGAATCAGGAGATCCTAGTAGAACCTTAGCTCTCTAATCAGAAAGCTCGGGTTTCCTTTCAGGTCAGACAGGGACCAGTGGCACATATGCAGATTGCAGCGTGGTTTTCTTGCCACTGCTTCAGGGATTCACCAGCTGCATTTGCCTGGGGAAGGGAGGAATTTTATCAAAAAGTAATAATAGTTCACAGTCCAACAGTGATGGCCAAAGCTTAATAATGGGTTAAATGCCTCAAAAAGATATGTATTTAAGAATGAAAAGAAGGAAGGAGCAAGGGAGGGAGGGAGGGGAGGAAAGAGGGAGAAGCAGGGAGGGAGGGAAGGAGGAGAAAGCTACAGTACTCAATTGAAAGCAGTGAGAACATCCTGGGCAATAATAGTGTCAGGTTCAATTGTTGAAAACTGTAGGATGACTCAAGTGATCTAAAATTAATTTTTTTTTAATTTTATTTATTTATATGTGTGTGTGTGTGTGTGTGTGTGTGTGGCCAGCTCAGCCCACCAGGGGGCGGGGCTGACTGGCATGTGGTGCTGGGGGACTGAACCGCGGTCCCTGTGCTTTGCTAAGCTTGTTCCAAGCAGGTGCTTTAGACCACTGAGCCATCTCACCAGCCCTAAAAATTAATTTTTGTTTTTTATGTGTAAGAGAAAGCCAGAGCCAGTATGCTCATATTCAACTTGCAATGATGCAAATCAGAATTAAGAGAGAGCAAATAATGTTCATTAGTTGTTTGAGGATTTTTTCCCCCTGTGGCGCTATTTGCATTATACAAAAATTCTTGAGATTTTAAGCTACCCACCCACCAAGAACACAGAACAAAACAAAAACCTTCACTGATTCCCTTGTGGAACATAAATGTAGTCAGAGTCCTTGGCTGGAAAAAATATATAGGTGATTTTTGTTGTGTTGGTTTTGGCTTTTATTCTCTTTTTTTGTTGTTGTTAGTTGATCTTTTGTGTTACGTGGATTTTTTTGGAGGCAATAACTAATTTCTGTCTACCTTGATTTGACTTCATGACTACGTTCTTTCTCTACTCTGAAAATAATCTTTCAGACCCTTTTGTTGTTTCCAAAATATTCTCAGTATTTTTAATGTGCATTCATTTTCAAACTTCTGTCAAAGTTGTCTCGTAATACTTTTTGTTTCAAGAACTATCAGGGGCAGGGGAGATAGCTCAGTAGAATAAGCGCTTGCCTGGCAAGTGCAAGGGCCTGAGTTCAATCCCTTGTTCCGCAAAAAAAAAAAAAAAAAAGGACTATCAGACACATAGATTATAATTTATCATTTTAATTATGTAGAGCATGTTGAGTACTTAAATGCAGTTCAATTAATTTTTAGTTAACAAACATGTTTTTCATATAAAAGCCGTAAATAAGACCACCGGTACTTCCAAACTGTTAAGAATACACTTGAGTAGTAATACTTCCCTAGAGTTGTCGTAATTATTAACGTTATTACCTTGGGATCCTTAAAGTGATACCCAGTTCAGTTCTAAAACTTCTTAAAGGGTAACTGTAAAAATCTGTATCTTGGATCCGCCAGGACTGGTGGAGGCTAAGCTCGCAGCTGTCCTTTGTGGTGGGGTCGTTGGCCCTCAGGCCGCAGCAATCATGGTGAACATAGTTCAGATTGTGCGTGACCACTGGGTACATATATTTGTCCCTGTGGGATTTGTCTTTGGATGTTATCTGGACAAAAGGAATGATGAAAAGCTAACTGCCTTCCAGAACAAGAATATGCTATATAAAAGGGAATTGAGATCTAATGAAGAAGTTACCTGGAAATAAAGACTGGCTAAATTACAGAATATTCGTGTTTTAAAATTATGGAAAAAAAATGTTTGTTATTTAAAAAAGAAAATCTGTATCTTGAATTCTAATGGAAAGGTTCAGTGCCTGATATCCGAAGTGTGTTTATGAAATGTGTTTGTCGTGCTGTGATCCCTCAGTCTCTCATGGTCTGGTGCTGCTGTTCCTTGAGTACAGAAGAAAATTCTTTCCTCCTGAAAACCTGCTGAGGCACCTGGTAAAATGCATGGCACACAGGGATCACTTATTAAATGCTGTTGACTAGTGGACTGTGTAGCTTGTTTGTTTGGTTGGTTGGTTCATTGGTTGATTTTTGTTTTTGTTTTTTGTTTTGATGGGTTTTTAGTTTTTTGAGACAGAGTCTTGCTGGATAATTTGGACTGGTCTTGAACTCACTGTGTAGTCCAGGCTAGCTGGGAAGTCATGGCAATCTTCCTGTCCCACCCTCCCAAGTGCTGGGACTATAGGTATGCACCATCTTGCTTGGCCTGTGTAGGGTGTTTTTTGTTTTTGTTTTTGTTTTTTTTTTTGCAGAACCAGGGGTTAAACTCAGGCCCTTGCACTTGCCAGGCAAGTTCTTTTTCTACTGAGCCATCTCC